CTCCGTCTTCTTCTCTGTCCGCTCGGCCGGTGCCAGCCCCCGGCTGAACCTTTGCTGAAGTCTGGGAGCCCCCACTCCGCCCCTGCTCTTCCCCATGGGGATCCGCGAGTTTCCCAACGGCCCGGCGAGGGGCAAGAGCATCACCCTGTGAGTATCGGCGCGGGCAGGGCTCCGCCTTGGTCTTGCGCCGGGAAGGGGAGCAGGGACCGGGCGGCGGGAGGTCCCGCTGAGGACCCTGGAGGGAGCAACCTTTGCTGAAGTCTGGGAGCCCCCACTCCGCCCCTGCTCTTCCCCATGGGGATCCGCGAGTTTCCCAACGGCCCGGCGAGGGGCAAGAGCATCACCCTGTGAGTATCGGCGCGGGCAGGGCTCCGCCTTGGTCTTGCGCCGGGAAGGGGAGCAGGGACCGGGCGGCGGGAGGTCCCGCTGAGGACCCTGGAGGGAGCCGGGGGAAGATCGGAGGGTCAGTCCCAATGGGGGAGGGTCCCACGCAAAGTTCCCGGTACCCCCATGTCCCTGGGAGGCCGGGAGCCACAAGGCGCAGGGGAGCGCTTGGCAGGGGGCGTTTACACCGCGTTAAACTTGCCCTGGAGGGAACCCGGGTGTTTGCGGGGGAGCAGCTGCCCCTTTCTTGCCCGGTAGCGAGGTGTCGGGGCAGATTAGCTGGGAGGGGAGCTTGGCCCGGGCCGTGCCCTGCCCCGCCTGGCCCCTTGCTGCGGAAGGAAAGGGGAGCTCCTCGGCCGTTCCCACTCCGTGCTCAGGTCCCTTCCCTGCCTTTCCAGTGGCATGAGGAGATCTCCAGATGTCAGCCCCAGGAGGCTGTCAGACATCAGCCCGCAGCTCCGGCAGCTCAAATACCTGGTGGTGGACGAGGCGATCAAAGAGGATTTGAAATGGTCCCGATCCGTGGAAGATCTCAACAGCGCTTCCGTGGGGCTCACTTCCATCGAGGAAAGGATTCTGCGGATTACCGGGTATTACGGCTATCAGCCCTGGGCTGCCAGCTACAAAAGTAAGTCCCTTGTTTATCGCTTCTCTTCTCACCAGCGGTAGCAACACTCCTCCCCTCCCCCCTCAACTTTGCTGCTGCTGCAGCAGCAGCCTCTTCTCGAGCTGCCTGGAGGGTGTAGGGCAGGACTTGCCTTGCACTCTGGATTTAACCTTGTCTCCTTTTTTCTGTGGCAGCTCTTCACATTGCTACTTCAGTGTCCCAGCTGATTGAAGGGATGGACAGTAATTGCCTAATTGCATTTACTATCCTCTTCTTCCCTAAACTGGATCATCTCAGCTTTGTCAGTTTTGTAGTTTTCTCTAAAATATTCTTGTTCCCTTAGTTGGGAGATTTAACTATTTTTACGTTATGAACCGATCAACATTTGTGTCTGATAGCTAATTCAGTGCTGAATGGTGGAAAAAGTTGATGTGGCACAAGGTGATGGCATTATGATGAATTCAGTACAGATTTGTGGGAGATTTAATCATTGAAGTTTCTTGTTATTTGGAAAAATGCTAGTGCTTATGGAAAACGTGTTTAGCTTTTGTAATAGGGGAGGATTTCAGTTTAGTTCTGGAATTCAATAAAAATATAAATGTTACAAATGACTGCTGTGGCATAACATCATTAAGGAAATCATTACATATAGGTTAAAGTTTTCATCTTATATTCTTGATATGATATTTAATCGCTATTAAAATGTCTTAACAGTTGAATGATTTAAAGAAATGTTTTCATTCTCTGCTAAAGGATTTAGCACTTACGGTATTCATTTTTTGCATAAAATTGGGCTTTTAGTGATTTGGTGTTAATAATATTAAATTCAGTATTAAAACATTGCTTTCTTTTTATTGATGATGCCATAAGTGAAGTATAATAATCGGCTTGTTTGTGACCATTACTTAGGTGCAATGAGGATTTTTAAACCTGTACAGTATTAGTTTTTGAAAGGACATTATTTAGTATCCTCTCCCTACTAATTTTGAAGAATCATTTGTACTTAAACTCTTAACTTTTACCTGAAATTAAAATATCTTTACCTTACCCAACACAGCTTCCCAGTAGCATGTTCATAAACTTTGGTGAGAAACTTATCATAGAGTGTACAGGCATGTAAAGCTGAGTTTCTCTTCATAAGGTGATATTTTGAAACACTTTAGTAAACCTGTTGGACATATTAGTAACATAAGAACGACCATAGTGGGTCAGACCAAAGGTCCATCTAGCCCAGTATCCTGTCTTCCGACAGTGGCCAATGCCAGATGCTCCAGAGCAGTGGTCTCCAACCTTTTTAAGCATGAGATCAGTTTTTGAATGTAAGTGCAATCTAAGTTCTGCCTCACACCCAAATACCCTGGCCCCGCCTCTTTGTGCCCCTTCTCCGAGGACCCACCCCTGCTCACTCTGACCTTCCTCCCTCCCTCCCCATTCTTCCTTCCTTTCACCAGGCTGGGGCAGAGGGTGGGGTGCTGGTTCTGGTCGTGGAGTAAGGGACTTGGAGTGTTAGAGGGACTCTGAGCTGAGCCTGGGGCAGGCAGTTGGGGTACCAGAGCGGGTTCTACGTGCAGGTTCTGGGAGGGCATTTGGATACAGGGTACTCAGGGCTAGGGCAGGGGCTTGGGGTAAAGGAGGAGGTTCATACCTGGGGTAAGATTTTGGGATGTGGGCTCCAGCTGGGCACTGATTACCTCAGGTGGCTCCTGGGTGGTGGTGCCGTGGGGCGAGGGCAGACTCACCCCTGTCCTGGCCCTGCATCATTCCCAAAAGCAGCCAGGAAACTCCATCCTAAGTCCTGTTGTGTCTCTGCTGTGGCGATAGGATACAGAGTGAGAGACGGGACACCTTGACATGAGCACCCCTTTTCTCCCTCCCCTGCCCAGAAAGCAGGATGCTCCTGAGGGGACAGCTCCAAGCCAAAGGGCAGGAGATGCACTGCAGTGGGGGGAGGGGCAGCTGAAGTGCCAGTCCTCAATAGCCTCTTGGCCAAACCAGTCAGGATCACCTTTCAGGGGATCCAAGATCTACCAGTAGATCCTGATCTACTGGTTGGTGACCACTGCCCCAGAGGAAGTGAACAGAAACAGGCAATCCTCATGTGATCCCTCTCCTCTCATCCATTTCCAGCCCCTGACAAACAGAGGCTAGGGACACCATTCCTACCCATTTTGGCTACTTGTGAAATGTTCTTCCATATGTCCTCATTACCAAAGATGACTGCATGCAGTAACAGTTTTTAAGCATTCGTTTGCACTTGTGCAGAAATCATAATACTGTTTGTGACATGATAATACTGTTCCTAACATTACAATTTTCTGTTGCAAAAGCATTTTTGTTGTTTTTTTTTACCAGAGGATCATAATTTTTTGGGGGGAAACTGTTTTTGACAAAGTCTGTTATAATTATTAAATATATGCATATCTAATACATCCACCATTGGATTACTTGGTTGCCAATGTACTTAATAATAAAGGGGGAAGATACAAAAAAGTTATACTGTGTTTTTCATGAGCTATTAGCAACTCATTAAAACATTACTGCAGAGTGTTAAAATATGAATTAGTAGATAAAGTCATAATGGCTTTTGCATAAAACCAATTTATTATATTTTTCTCTGGTTATTACTATTCTAAGAATCTGATTTTGGTGCGCTTATTCACAGGGAGTTGTGCCTTAGTTCAAGAGCAGTCCCATAGACCTCGCTGGGACCATTCATCTATACAAAGTTATTGGTTCCTGTGATCAGACTATCTATGGGTGCCAACTTCTAAGTTGGATCCTATTGTTCCTTTCTGACACCATGACTAATAGCCCAGTTGAATTCATAGTGAGTTACTGTGGATGATCTGTCTAAAATAATAAAAGTCATTTTCAGCTGCTCAATTATAACCTATTGCTAAGATTTATAACTCCACTATAAAAGTTAATTGTGAACCAAAATTTGGCATTCAGAGTGTATTCTCTATAGCAATTTTAAAAATAAAATAATAAATGGCACTTTAGAATTATAATGGTGGGGAATAAATATACACTTTTCCGAGGATTTTTTTTTAAATCTACCTTGGAATAGTTAACTTATAACATGCATCCATTTCACAAACTAAAAAGATAACAGCAACCACTGTATTTTATAAACAGTGTTGATAGAAATGTACAAAAGATTATTTACATATCCATCTAGTGTTATTTGGCATGACTTCAATGGAGCTGCTTTGATTTACATCAGCTGGGGATGTGGCTGAAAGCATGAAAGTTAGATAAATCAGCAAAACTAAAAGGTTGGTTTTATATCAACACTCTGAAAACATTTTTTTTAAAACTCTTATTTTGGCTTATGGAAGCAGTAATGATATAAGAAGTCTTTCACATTTTAAGCAAACAGGATTAATCAAATTAGGTACTATGAACAAAAATAATTTATATTACATTTAAATTATAAACTCTTTGGATAGGAATCTTATCTTTTTTTGTGTATGTCTGTTAAAAATCTTGATACTGTTTGCATCATATAAATAATAAAGATAATGAATTGAGTGTGGGTGCTCTCAGGAAACTAGTTGGTGATCTAGATATTTTGAATATATAAATCAGATTTCATCTCCCCTCGCCCTCTTTAAGTTACCTTCAATGACACTCTTGTTAATGAATGGCTCTAAAAGATTGTGCATGTTTTGCTTATAATATTGAGCAATTCCTCATACTATTATTTAGAATCATATAGATTATCTAATTATTTAGACTTCCAGAAGTCCTTTGATAAGGTCTCTCACAAGAGGCTATTAACAAAACTAAGGAGTCATGAGACTGAAGGCAAAGTATTGTCATGAATCAAAACCTGTTTAGGAGACTGGGCTTTTGCCATAATGGAAATTGATCTATTCAGGCTAGATAAAGGGGCAAAATTATGGCAGATTAAAGTCAATGTTCTAAAGGTGAACAGGTGCACATTGGGGGAAACCATTTAAATCACAGATACAGCTATGCTAACTACAGCCATCTCGATTAAGGAAAGAGACCACTGTTCCCTCAGATCTTTTCCATTCATGTGTGGATTTTTTCCATCCATGAGCAGAATAAATTTTGGTTATGTGCACCTAGATATGTGAATGTGCACCACCAGTAGAAACAAAAAACTAGTTGTGGGCACTCTGTTAATTATCGGAATAGCATTTGAATCTCTCCTGAAGAGCTGCACAAGCACCTAGTTACAAGGAATACTGAAAGATACTGGAATGTCACTTCAGATTGCTCAAAGACTTCTGTTCAAAGTGCATCTATTGTCAAAAAATAAAACAAAATTTTACGGTGCATAAGGAACAAGATGGAATGATACAAAGATAATGCAGGGACTGTTCTTTATTAGGATACTGATCCCTATTACTCAAAATTAAGAAATCATTTTAAAGTTATTTGCTGTCATAGCAACATTGTAATAACTGTTTAGTTCTGGTTGACTATTACCATTTTTTAGTAGACTCTGAGTAGACATTTTTATCTTTTTTATTTTCAGGGAAAGAAGAGGGCTAAATTCTAATCTACAGAATGGTCATTGATTTTTAACAAACAAATCAATTGCTTTGCACACTTCTTCATGCAGCTTTAATTAAATCTAATGTGTTCTGTAGTGTCTTTTATGTATATGGAGATGTGCCGAACTGTGGCCCATAAGAGTGGCTGTACAGGCTGCTGTAATTTGGGCAGGTCCTTAGGGCTGTCTCTTTATGCTGGTGACTGTAGATCAAGAAAATACAAAGGGGATATAAAACCACCTTAGCCCCAAACCTCACTCTGCGCTGCCAGCTGCAAGTTTCATATGATCTTGTGGAGGCACAACAGAATCTCATCCCAAAATCTGTTTCGGTTGGAGGTTTCTGTATATGTTTGGAAAGGCCTGAATGGTGATGTCACAGAAAGCTGAAACTTGAGTTGCAGCTCTGTTAAATTCATATTGCATGGGGAAGAAATGCAGAATCTGAGCCTTAGGTGATTACCAAAATACTTAATCAGAAAAGTCAATTCAT